CTTCTGAGCTTGATGGCCGCTTGTTTACCTTCAAGCCTTTAAGACCCCAGACGCTATACTTTTTGATAGCCGGGCACCATCACCTTTCTTTGCCACATCCATTTGTCTTCAGTGATTCTTTTGATACCTCGTGATCACATAGACTGATATGTTCTTCCATGAAAGTGATTTTTAACAAAACTTTGTCCTAAACACCACAAAAAAGAAAGAACTAAAAACAAATTAAAACAAAAACTAGGCTACAGGGCTAATAGTGCACATTCTGACCAAGGGCACAATGGATGGTCCTGGATACAATGGGAGAGAAATACAGAACAAACCTAAAACTGTCTTAAAAGACAAGATTTATTAGACTTGTTGAGATGAGAGGATGCCCCAAATGCTATTGCCAAGATTGCCCTAAAATCTGGAACTAAATCCACTCTTGGAAATCATTTTACTACCAAGTGATAGGTTGTCTCATAAATAATATCACTTATGAATACTATACCGCTTTAAATAATCATCTATGTGATAACAAATAGGCAATATTTACCATAAAGCAAAGATGAGAAGACAAAGAAATCTGGGATCCAGAGAAGTTAGAATAATAAATGACAATAATGGGAATATTGAAACATTGTGAAATTGAATATGTGTACAGAAATTGTTAAATGGGAACCTAATTTTCTGTGTCAAGTTCACCAAAAATACAAGTTAAAAAACAAAACAGGATCCTAGAGGACATGAGTGAATAGGGAATTTTAACACATCAATGTTTGGAAATACCCCCAAAGGTTTATGCATCCAGATATTCCTAGTGGGGAGAAAGTACACATGGATTGAGCCTTCAGTGAATCCCCTATGACCACAGACCAGGGATGTGAATAACCTTGCTATCATGCAGAATACATTGGCAAGTGGATTATTGCAGATGCAGTTAGGTTAAAATTTAACACCTTTTCATTTGATCTCCCTTTTGATCCATTTTACACGTATTCTAGTTTTTAATGCTTTCTGCTTTCTTTTCAATTGAGGTTTTTCTTTGTTATTATTGTTAGTGTTTACAAAATGTTTTTCTGTATATGAAATCCAGGATAGGTAAATTCATAGAGACAGTCACTAGATTAATGTTTCTTTGGCGTATGTCAGGAGAGGTTGGGAGGAAGTGGGGAGCTAACAATGATGTACAAGAACAAAGAATATGTCTTAAAACTGATTGTGGTAATGATTGTACAACTCTTCTTGATGTGCTAAACATATCAAATTGTGAGATAGGTGAATTATATGCTAATGAAACAGTTAAAAAATAAAACAACAATGATATATTATTAAAATTCAAGAGCAAATAGCCATGATATTGGATTAGAAAATGAAATAACCAATTAAAAAAAAAGAAGGCCAACTCTTAAATTGTAAAGGCGTCCATGAGAATCCAGAGATCAATAGAGGGCGAAATAAGAAATAAAATGAAGAGAGAATATTCTAAGGACATTTTTTTGTTGTTTAAAAAGGAAGCATAAAACGGAGTGCTGGAGAAGAGGGGACACAATGGTCACTTAATGGCAGAGTTGCGTGTGGAAGAGGGGAGAATTGTGGTCTCAGAAACAAGATCCTGGGAAACTATATCTCTCCTCTCTATTTTATAAATGGTATAAATATCCAAGATTGGTGAGGTGACCCTTAAATACAACATATAACTTTGGCCAGCAATTGAAGAATAGAAGTAGACAGGATGGGGCTAGTGGTGGGGAGTAGAGCTGAAGTCCAGGGTGAAAAGGAAAACTTTTCGTCAGAGCTAGAGGGGAAATGAGGACTGAGCCAGAGGCTTGGGGTTGTGGGAAGCAGTAGGGTTTCACTGTTTTAGGCAGAGTCTGTCTGTGGGTAGCAGAAGGAAGTTAGAAGAGAGATAGCGAGGGGAAGATTTGCTGAGAACACAGAACAAGAACATCTTTCTTGTGAGAAAGAAACACCTGCAAATGACAATGCTGTTTCTGCAACTTACTTTGTTAGCTGTCCTTCTCCCAGGTGGCTACAATGAAGATAAGAACGTCCCTGTCAACTCCCTTGCAGGTAGAAGTAGATCTGGGTAGAAAGGTGATGGGCGTTCACAAGATGGTTCTGGTTACTATGTATGCTTGAGAACTTGGGATGTGAGCCTCTAGGGGCAGCTTACTTTTGGGGTGTGTGTGTGTGGGGGGGTGTGTGTAACAGAACATAGGACATGGGCTTAGCTGAGCCTCCTCACTCTCCTTCTTTGACTTTTTCTACTTACAGTCACCCAGGAGCCCATCTTTTTCCGTCTCCTCCTTATCTCATCCTTTGCCAACCAAACCTGGCCACAGAACCAGGGCTCCGCTTGGCTGGACGAGTTGCAGACTCCCGGCTGGGACGGTGAATCAGGCACTATAATTTTCCTGCGTCCTTGGTCCAAGAGCAACTTCAGCGAGGAGGAGCTGCGAGACCTAGAACTGCTCTTCCAAATGTACTTCACTGGGTTTACTCGGGAGGTTCAGGACCATGTCCACACAATGCAGTTTGAATGTAAGTGTAAAGCACTCAACTAAGGAAATTTTTCAGGAAGTTTTTCTGCTTTGGAGGAACAGCTTCTGTTTATTTCGGCACCATTTTCTATGACCTCCTCCCCACTAGAAATAGCAGAAACCTTTCGGAGGTAATTCCAAACATTGATATGATAAAGTTCCTTATTTTCTTGTTTCCTCCAGGATCCTGTGTTTTGTTTTTTTTGTTGTAGTTTTGGTGAAATTTGACACAGCAAATTAGGTTCCCATTGAACAATTTCTGTACACAATGTTCAATTTCAAAGTGTGTCAATGTTCCCATTATTGTTATTCATTATTCTAACTTCTCTGAACCCCAGCTTTCTTCGTCTTCTCATCTTTGCTTTATGATAAATATTGCCTATTTGTTATCACACAGATGATTATTTAAAACGGTATAGTACTCATAGGTGATATTATTTATTTCATGAGCCAACCTATCACTTGGTGGAAAGATGACTTCCAGGAGTAGATTTAATTCCAAATTTTAGGGTTATCTCGGCAACAGTGTTGGGGCATCCTCTCATCTCAACTAGTCTAATAAATCTTATCTTTTAAGATAGTCTTAGGTTTGCTCTGTATTTCTCTCCCATTGGATCCAGGACCATCAATCTTGTCCTTGGTCAGAATGTGCACCATTAGCAATGTAGCCTATTTTCTGGGATTTTGTGTTTTCTTCTTTCTTTTTGATGGTAAATATTTAGGACAAAAATATTTGTAATTTCAAAATTTTAATATGTGTGTGACATCACATGCTGTCAATGGTTTTAGCATACACTGACTGTGTTGTTTAATCATTACCCTTATAGAATTCTCTTTTCCTATACTGTTTAATTAGTTCCATTGGTCTCTGTCCCATGATCTCAAATCTAGACGCATATGAGTTTAAACACTCTGTGCTTGGCACTCCTTTAAAATATTATCTTCACCTTCATGTTGTCAGTCATCTGTGTCCATAGACCCACGACCATTAGGACCCATTTCATTCACCCAAGAATGCCATGCTCTTACTCTCTGTTACAAGTTTATTATATGAATAATTATTCTATAATTATGTGCTTCACTCACTAGTTCCATATATCTTCTCCAAATCATTCTCCTCTATGTTGTGACTTATCTTTTATTCCACCCCATTTTTAAAAAGCAGTTATTCTTTCCCTTCTTCCTGGTAAAACGTATCTTTCACCAACTCTCACACTCATAAAACTCGTTTCCTGATCCCCTTATATCCTCAAACCCAGTTTTTAATGTGTTCTTTTTCCTTTCTTCCCTCCAATGCACAACCCCCAGACCCGTTGGAAATACAGGTTTCAGCTGGCTGTGAGGTGCACTCCAATGAGACCCCACAAGGCTTCTTCCATGTTGCTTATGGAGGAACAAACTTTCTGAGCTTCCAGAACTCATCATGGGTACCATCTCCAGAGGGAGGGAGTATGGCCCAGAATGTGTGCAATCTAATCAACCAGTACCAAGGCATCCGGGATACAGTACGGTGGCTCATCAGACACACCTGCCCGCGATTTATCTTAGGCCTCCTGGCTGCAGGGAAGATGGATCTCCAGAGACAAGGTCAGTTCAGCCTGCTTCTTCCAAGATTTTTCTATTCAAATCTTGATCATTCCCACTATTCAGTACCTTAAATTGTAGGGTGAGGATAAAGAGGAGAGGGAGAGGGGTTCCTGAGCTAGAGTTTCCTAGAAGAGGGGCAAAGATAGCTGTGCATACTACTGTGACATATGATCCCCAAGCTGTGTGTCAAGAACCCCGGTGCACAATGTTGAAAGGCTTGTCTCCTAACCAAAAGGTTGCAGGTTGCTTCTATAAAGATTTACAAGTTGGGAAACAAGAAAGCATACTGTCCACTACAGGGTTGCTAGGAGTACACATCTACTCAGTGGCATGGGTTTGGGGGTTACTTTGTGTATTAGAATTCTTATCTTCACACTGATTTTGCCCTCTGCAGTGAAGCCGCAGGCCTGGATTTCCAGTAGCCCAACAGCCAGTCTCGACCGGCTACTACTGGTTTGCCATGTGAATGGTTTCCACCCGAAGCCTGTTTGGGTGGTATGGATGCAAGGCAAACAGGAGCCACCAGGCACTAAACAAGGAGATTTCCTTCCCAATGCTGACGGGACATGGTATCTTTGGGTTTCTCTGGATGTGGCAAGGGAAGATGCAGTTGGTCTGTCTTGCCAGGTGAGGCACAGCAGTTTGGGTGGCCAACACATCATCATCTACTGGGGTAAGTAAGAATGGAAGTGGACAGTGTGGCGAAGATAGTCCTTGTGCTTAGAGTATCGGACAGAGGGAAATTTGAGAATGCCAGAACTAAGTGTGGGGCTGGGGTGGTCAAGAGTGGAACGAATCTTAGGAAGAATATATGTGGAAAATTCAAGGAATAGAGGGTTGAAAAATGAGGGTCTAAGGAATCCTTCCTTGAGTTTGGATTGGCATAGAGTGGCATAGATCATTCATTGGCATGAAGGATCGAGACAACTGATATCTAAAGAATATGATACACTAGGGGAGTCAATCAATGGAGTAAAAGATTAAAATTGTTATTTATGTTTTGTTCTAATCCATAGGACACCATGTCTCAATGAACTTGATCCCCTTGGCAGTGATAGCGCCCTTGATACTTTTAATAGGTCTTGTATTGTGGTTTAAGAAGCGCTGGTGAGTTCTTTGTGTTTCATCTGGTCTCAATGTGTTATTTTGTTTTCTGTTTCTTTACCATCTTCCCCCCTATTTTCCTTATTACCCATCTCCAATTTAGCTGGAGTTTCCTTCAATTTCTTTCACAGCTCCTATCAGGACATCTCTTAAGCCTCTTAACTCAATGAAGCCAGAACACAACAACCCAGGAACACAGTGCCAATACTGATGCCAAATACTTCCCAATCTCCAAATAAATGTCCTTTTAAAAAATGTTTCTGCTTAATTGTCATTTGTTAATTATAAAACCAGATTAATATCTTCAACTCTGTATCCGTTTCTGGGTGTAACTATCCATGTATTTAATTGCATTCAACCTTCAAGGACCATTTCTGACGTCCTTTCTTCAGAGCTTCAGATGCACAAGTCAGAAGCAGTCTTATTTGCCCCTCTGAAGTCCCACAACATTTTAACTGAACTATTACATTGAATACTTTCTCCCCTACCCAGCTTTGGAGTGATGTATGTCTACCCTCCCCTGCCTCCACCACACTTCAAATGCTAAGTTCTCTGTGGAAAATGAACAAAGCAAACGCACTGCTCTATAATCAATGTCGTCTCCTAGAGACCCCCGAGGACAGAGGGGACCTGCCCCCTACGTTTTGAATTCTGTATGGGAGCCGTCCAACTCACCCTCTTCTTGGGGAGCACCAGGGGGGTTCTAACTGCAGACCTGTGGTAGCAGCCCATAATCCACTGTAATAACAGGACTCTCTCTGAAGCAAGAGATCGTGAAAAAGTATCTTAGTGGCATGTAATATATGCTCAAACACTCACAAAAATCCCTAAAACCAACCAACCAAAGCAAAGCCGACATATCCAAAGTAAACTAACCTTCAGAATAGTAGTGTTTTCTCATATATTTCCTTCATGCTATCAATATAGTCTTTGCAAAATTGATTCATTAATTTTTACATGCTTCTTAGTTGGCCAAGAAATTCTACATTCCATTACCTCTTTCACTGAAACCCTGAGCTTGAAAGAGGAAGGAAACTCCCCCCTTCATGTTTATGAAAATACATATTAATAACGTCTAAACAAAGATATAGAAATAATTATAGAAATTAATTATATGGATTGCAAATATTGTAAGAGAGAGATGAGGTCAATTAAGAGAAGTAATGGGGCAGAGTAACAGGGCTGATCTATCACTGAATGCTCAAAAAAAGAGGAGCCAAGGAGTCGGGCCTCTGAATAGGAATGTTTTCGGGCCTCTGAATAGGAATGTTTTCGGAACGTATGTGGATACCAAGCACACCAGAGAGTGGTGCTCACCTAGCTCCCACAGTGGTGCTTTTTGTAGTAGTCTGAATTAGACTTTAGTTACTTTAATTTTCACCCAGGGTTTAATCAACATTTTAAAATCACTGACTATCAAAAGTATAGGCAATTGAATGCAAGAGTTGGAACAAAGAGTAAGGGGCAATAGTTGGAAGATATGTTCTTAGTGATAGAAATTAAACTGGAGATCACATGATGGAATTTTGCAATGCCAATGACTTCTTCATCAAATATCTTTACACAGCAACACAAGAGGCTACTATATACTTGGACTTCAAATCAATTACATCTGTGTGAAGAGACAATGGAGAAGCCAATATTAGCAGCTAAAACCGGTCAGGGGCTGGCTGTGGAACAGACCATCAATTGTTTATATAAAAGTACAGGTTGAAGTTGAAGAATGTTCAAACAAGTCCATCAGATCCAAAATATGACCTTGAGTGTATCCTATCCAAAATTTCCAGAACAGAAAATCTAATGAGCTGCTAGAGGCCATGAAGGTCATCATTCATGAAGAAAGCAGAAGGTCTTTCAAAGTGGATGTCAGAAAAGACTCGGAAACTTGCTCAATCACAGAGAACCTAAAACAAATGGAAGAAACGGTGAAATCAAAGAACTGAACAAAAACTCTCAAAGGGCAGCTTGAAAAGACAAAGTCAAATATTCTAATGAAATGTGAAAACACCTAGAGTTAGAAAATAAAAAAGAAGAGCACACTCAGCATATTTTAAATTGAAATAACTCAAGAAAAATGCAAGCATCAAGTTGTATTATTGAAAGATATGATGGGCAAAACATGGAATGAAACCAGAAACTTCAAAAGAAAATCTAAAGAATACACAGAGTCACTGTACCAAAAAGAACTGATCAACATTCAACCATTTCAAGAGGTAACATATGAGCAAGAATTAATGATGCTGAAGAAGTCCAGGCTGCCCTGAATGCATTCGCCCAAAACAAGGCTCCAGGAATTGATGGAATACCAGTTGAAATGTTTCAATAAGCTGATGAAGAACTGGAAGCACTCACTAATCTTTAAAAAGACATTTGGAAGGCATCTACTTGCCCCACTGACTGGAAGAGACCTATGTTTGGTATTTTCAGTGGCCTCATACGACTGTGAAAATTGGGCATTGAAGAAGGAAGACCTAAGAAGAATTTCCTGGAAGGACCATGGATTGCCAAAAAGACAAACAAATCTGTCCTGGAAGCCAGAGTGCTCCTTAGAGGCGAGGATGGGAGACTTTATCTTACATACTTTGGACATGTCACCAGAGACCAGTCTTTGGAGAAGGCTATAATGCTTGGTAAAGCGAGGGGCAGTAAAATAGTGGGAGGCCTTCAATGAGGTGGATTGACACAATGGTTGCAGCAATGGGCTCAAGCACAGGGACACTAAGAGGAGAGGCCAGAAGGAGCACAGGGTTGTGATGGGCTGGAATGGACTCACTGCATCTAACAACAACAGATACTGAGAGTAGCACTCATTTTGTCTGACATTCCCCGCCACCCACGCACTTAGCATATGGTTATGAGCCACGTCGTTGCATGTATTGGTAATCTCCTCTTCTTTTTTATTGCTGAATGCACTTGACTGAATGGATGTACACCCATTTTAATTTTTAATTAATCTGCTCTTTGTTCCTGGTTTGAGGTTGTTTCAAATAAAACCATTGATATTGTTTTTGCATTTAGGTTGAGTTGTGCCGTTGGTTTCTTTAGTTGATTGTCTGGACAGATTCTGGAGAATCTGCCTAACTTCTTCTCGAATAAAATTTGCCATCAGTCATGTGTTTGCTCAGTTTTTTCTTTTATTTTCCTTCTGTAAGTTTAAACCTGGCTTCTAAGAGTTATTTCTGTGTAGAAAATGTTAGTGGTAAAGCAGTGATTGATCAGAAGGTTTTTTCTAACAACCTAAAGTCAGCAAAACGTCCACCTTTTTTTTTGGTGAAGGGATTTGTATGTTCGTTAAAGAACACATTCTGCTTTCAAGAAGTTCACAAACTGCCTGAGCTTTTAAGTTATCTTTGTGCAAATTCTTTGTTTAGGCATGGATGCCATGGCTCCTTTTGGCCTCACATGAACTTATCGAATGTCTTACAGTGTCACTTCAGATCAAAGGACTCATTTCAAAGCAAATGAAGTGCAGCATTAGGCCCATGTTATGGAATCTACTTAGCATAACCTTCATCATCCGGAAGTAGGTGGCATTATAGAAAGATGGAATGGATTTCTAAAGACGTTATTTCGGTGTCAGCTATGTGACAATACCTTTTAGGGTTAGGGCAATGTTCTCCAGGAGACTATTTATGCTGTAGCGTGGAGTTCAATTCAAGTATATCATGCTGTTTCTCTAATAGCCTGAATTTATGTGTCCAGGAACCAGAGGGTAAATAGCTCCAATCACTATTACTCCTAATGACCCACTCACAATACTTTTTCTTCCTGTCCCTGCAACCCTCTAATCTTCACATCTGGACGTCTTACTTTCAAAGAGTAGAATACTCCCACCTGGAGATACAGTTAAGAATGTCTGGAAGTTAAGAATGTCTCCTACTCATCTGGACCCCTCAGGCCTCTGCATCAGCACACAAAGGAGGGAGTTACTGTACTGAGTGATTATGTGATACAGATATCATGTCATTGCATAGTTCAATCATATCAAGCAGTATTGTACACTTGCTACCTAGTCAGTTTCAAAACATTTACTTTCTCCTTAAACCACTTGATATCATCTCCCCTTTATTCCTCCTCTACTGTACCCACCAGGAGCCCTTATTCTACTTACTGTCTCTATGGGGTCCTCAGTCCTGAGTCTCAGATACTGAAAACAGAAACATATGTTACAAAATTTAAGAAGACTGCTCACAATGATAAAACACATTAGAAATAAACTCCAACACACACACACAGAGAAAATGTTGAAAACCATATCAGGCCCAACCTGGATCAGTCAGGGTATCAAGTGACAAGGTTTTAACCACTCAAGTCAGGTTTATCATTTTGATCTCCAATAGTCATCTCTCCAATGCTCTGTCTTTGGTAATCAGTTTATTCCCATCCCTCCATTATGGATAGAAGGAAATGACCAGAGGCCTATTTCCTGTGTAGATCTCACAAATGTATTTTGGACCTCTACTGTCATTCATAGCCTTCTGCAAACCAGACTCTCACAATTTAGGCTCGAACACTATGCTTTCCTTCGACTTTGGGTTACATAATTTACAATTCTTGGGACGTGGATGTTGGTGTGCTTCTTTCATGTGAACTTAGTTGACATCTCACTTAGATGACTGCTTGTTTGGAAACACACCTTTAAGATCCCAGACACTATTCTTTCTGATAGCCAGGCATCATCTAGTTTCTTCACTACATTTTTTTTTGCTTTAAAAAAAATCATTTTATTGGGGGGGTTCTTACAAATCTCATAACAATCCATTATTCAATGGTATGACGCACACTGGTACATATGTTGCTACCAACATTTCCAACACAATTTCTTTCTACTTGAACCCTTGGTATCAGTTCCTCTTTTTTCCCCTCACTCCCGCCCTCATGAAACCTTGATCAATTATGTATTATTATTATTCTTTTGTGTCTTACATTGTCCGTTGTCTCCCTTTATCTACCTTTCTGTTATTTTTCTCCCTGGGGCATGCCCAATCTTGTGATAGGTTCCCCCTT